CCGACGCTTTAGGGCACCCTTTAACGTCAGTTAGATGACGCTATCCTAGTGGTCTAACCCTAACCCTACTCCAGACCTAAACCTACCCGCGTCATCTAAAGAGTCGGATGTTGATGCATGGTCAAAAGCGTCAGTTAGATGACCCCTTGGGATGAGAACACAAAAAAGGGGTGGGCAGATTAGGAATTGTAAAAAGAGACAAAATAGGTTAAAATGGTGCTTATTTTACTATAAATTCTGTGCTCAGAGAGTTTGTACTCCTCAAAAGTAGTCCTGTGGGATAAAGTTTGGATAAATATAGAGGAGTGTGTAGATTTAGATCAAATTCCTGTTTTATGCTCCAATTCTTTCTTTTATTCCTGTATAATAATGGAAGTTTTCCCAATGTAAAACTCCACCTTATACTAAGACATAATATGAAAAAAGATTTCCGATATAGATGTCATCTGTTTCTTTGTTGTTATGACAAAGATTAAAATATCACAGGGGCAATAAATGAGAGCGAGAGAGAGAGAGAGATAAACATCTCCAGTGCATTTCTTGTAAGAGCAGAAAGGGATTCCCCACAGTGTAAAGCTTTTAGTAAATGACTCTTGGCGCAGAGAATGGTTTTGGTAAGACATGCCAGGTCCTAAGAGCAGGAGTCTTCCAATAGCTTGGCTTTGCTTTGCTCCGGCACGTTCTGCTCTGGAGCTGCCGAGACGTGCAGCTGCACGCTCTCAGCTTTTTGTCCCCAGGTACCTGTGCCAGAGGCTGACTTGCAACCATTACGTAATGTCTTTGTGTAACTGGCCCTAAACATGTCTACCAAACATACTTTCCAGTGATCAATAATTTTTAAACATCCTCCCTCCATTCAAAGCAGGATCAGAGACCATGGCAGCAAGAAAACATTTCTACAACAATATGAATCACCTTTTGATGCAGAAAATGTACTGGAGGATTATTTGAAATCCGAGTATTTGCTGGAGTATTTAAAGACAATAATCTTAACATGAAGAGAGTTTGCCATGCCATTTTCTTCCTAAGCCTCAAGATTTAGATGCTAAGTTAAGGAATTGTGGGATTTCTGGTCCATAACGGCACACCCACACATCCTTCTCTTGAAAAAAATTCAGACCAGCTTCATCATTTTTGACTGATTGTGCCATCAAGGTTAGCACAACTTTAAAAGAGGCCGCCAGTCCAGAGCCAGACAGGATTTAATCGGATGTCGAAGATGTTGCTTATCTTATTATTTTAACTCCTTAATAAAATAAGAAATATCTCGTACTGAAAAGGGAGGAATTGTACCTGAGGTGAGATGTAGTACTACCTATTTAAAGAAACATTAAATGTATAGTTCAGCCAAAAATCAAAACTATAAAGAAAAAATATTATGGGGATTTTTATGTGAACAACTCTGTTATTCACTTCCCAACAGGAAAAAAAAAGGATGCCACATTCTGTTTCTACCATTTTGCCATTGTTTTTTATTTTGGAGATACTGTTCATCAGTGTTATCATTCCTGAGCGCAGTGGGTGTCTCCGTTTTCCTTGTTTCAAGGCATGCGTAACACTGTAGGCTGGAAAATAATTCACAGTAGAACTTGTTTCCAATGTGGCGGGTTGTGGCAAGCAATGAACTCCGAGGCCAGTTGGCACTGCAGTGTTAAGAGCTTGGAAAATCACTATAACTTGTGTATTACTCATTAATCTGTCACTTCAGTGAGAAAAGTCTTGAGATTCCTTCAGGTTGTGTTTAGATTCTCGTATAGATGCATTCAATCAAAGTGTATATTCAAATAAATGGTTTTGATCAAAGCTGTGACCACCAAAGACATTGAGTGGTCAACTGGAATAGGTTTTTGCGTTTGGTATGCAGTTACATCTTTGGCTTTAAATGCTGTAGGACACTTCTGATCAAAGTCAATCACACCGACTGCAATGTAGCCTCACAATTTTGTGATGCACGCTGAATGCGACTTGCAACTTAAAATCATATTTGAGCAGTTGCTCTGTTCTCATGTTGGCATAAAAATTGAATGACCCGCTTATAAACACAAGCCTTTACATTGGAGGTTCACCTACTGAAAAGCAAAGATGTTAAAGTCACTGCAAATTGTTCAGCATACCTCCGTTTTAACAGCCTTCATATTTGCACATCTAATTTGAAACTTATATGTAAAATCTCATTGTTGTTAAATTATGATCATACATGTGAATTGAATGATTTGTTTAGATACCACAGACAAGGAGTTGACATATATTTGTATAGTTCACAAATAAGAGCAATTAAGTCTTCTAAAATTAAATGGGGGACCCTCAAGTAAAGAATGCATAAGTATTCAGCTAATAGAAAAAATTAAATGAAAAATAAATATAATACTAATATATACAGTACAACAAATATATTACAATTAATAAATAACAATATTTGATTAAATTATATAATATTATTCACATTTTATATAATCCCTGCTTGGTTTGAACCCACTAAGCAATTCATATTTTTAATGTAGGTCCTGAGGTCATTTAACATTTAACTCAATACACAACAAAAAGAAAATGAGCTTTTCACACAAATTAGTTTCCCTTTGGTCACTGAGCATGACTTCCTACATTAAATCCAGATCCCATTAACAATGAAGTGTACAGAGCAGAGAACAGAAAAGAAACATGTCGCTTTATGCATAAACAGTGAAGAATTAGTTTATTTATGAGATTTTCGGTCCACGGGGTATCTAAAATTAAGACATTTGGATATGCAGGACCTGATGGCTAAATGCATCTCTAAACGATTATCCCAAATTTACCACTGGGACACAAATAGTGTCTGATAGCTTTTTCCATGTCACCTGATAGCCTATATCCAATGGAGTCATACTCTCCCCTTATTTGGCTCTAACTAGATATATAAAAGAATGATATTATGTTATTTTATGTTCAATCCAATTATATAGAATCCAATTATAATTAAAGTAAATATACAATTGTAACTTTTTTACTGTGGCACAATCAGAACATACCCAGTACAGGACATCTGTGATTAGGTTATGAAGAGCTTTTTAGGAACATACTTACTCTTTTAGGGCATGCCATGCACAGCACCAGAGAGTCCCACAGTCATTCAGATCTCCTCTAGGCCTCATCTCACCAGTCTGCAGAAGAGATTTCAGCTACTAATGACTTCACAGAGAGAGCTCAGTCTTGTGCTGAGAGGTAGAAGGGCAAGAGGGGTATGGGTTATATTCATATGCTTGAGTTTTTGGTACAGCGGTACAATTTTGGTACTTTTGTGCTTGTACAGTATCATTAGTGATGTAACACAGTGCAGTTTTGACATCCAGGGTCATCTGTTAGTCGTAAAGTCCAGATGGCATCTTGTATTTCATGTGTTTGTAAATAGATGCAATCAGGAAGGTGTTGGAATTCTCCTCCTCCTCCATATCTATTGCCGTCTGCAAAGTTTGTGTTCCGTCCATCCCATTTGGAATGTGTGCATCATTTTCCCAATTTCCCTTTATCGCCAGCTGCATTCTTCGCCTGCTTCCATCCGGTGTTGACATTTACTGTGTTACAGCCTGATAGCATTCTAGGGAGAGTTGGCACAAAACACACCAGCTGCTCTCAACAATCCCAAATGTTGTGTGTGTGTGTGTGTGTAATCGGGAGTGGTTGGCTTTGGTTCCAAACACTGGACTCTCAGGGTTTTATTTTTGCCTGGCTCTCAGAACAGCGGAGGACTCCTCAGCTGTCAAGCTCTGGTCTTAGAAGCACTTCCTGTGGGGTGGCAGCACTTAGCGTTTATGATGTAATGCGAGTAGGGCACAATCTGGGCATTGTATACTGCAATCTTGGCACTATGGAGGCATTGCTGCGTACATCCCTGTATGTGCACATGTGTCCTATCATTCTTAATACTGCTTAGGGATAAGTGTTTTAATGTGATCAGATTGTATACATTTAAAAATGCATAAAAATACATTTAAAAGTTTTTTTTTAAAGGCTTAAATTCTTTAGGAAAAATACTTTCTCCTGTCATGGTTTCAGTGATCTTAAATCATTTATAGGAACTATGAGTATGTTTATGTTCTTAAAGCATTAAAGGAGTAGTTCACTTTTCAAAAAACTTTTGCTGATAATTTACTCGCTCCTATGTCATCCAAGATGTCCATGTCATTCTTTCTTTAGTCGAAAAGAAATTAAGGTTTTTGATGAAAACATTCCAGGATTTTCTCCATATAATGGACTTCAGTGGGAACCAAACGGTTCAAGGTCCAAAAGACAAAAGTTCAAAGGGCTTTAAATGATTTCAGATGATGAATAAGGGTCTTATCAAGCGAAACGATCGCTTATTTAAAAAAAAAAAATAACAAGGTTTAAGTTTTATAAGCTCAAATGGTCGCCTTGCTCTGTTCTGTGATGCGTGTTCGTGACTCTCCTGTTCGAACTCATTCATTAAAATTAACAAATCTTTTTCCGAGACAATTCATTCATTTCGTTCGTTGAATGAACCAAACGACACAAAAAAGATTTGTTCATTTTGATAAACGAGTTCGAGCAGGAGAGTCACAAACGTGCGTCACAGAACAGAGCAAGGGGACCATTTGAGCTTATAAAACTTAAACCTTAAACTTTGTTGTTGTTTTTTTTTTCTAAATGAGCAATCTTTTAGCTTGATAAGACCCTTATTCATCGCCTGGAATCATTTAAAGCCCTTTCAACTGTTTGCAGTTTGCACTGAAACAGTCTTTTGGACCTTGAACCGTTTGGTTCCCACTGAAGTCCATTATATGGAGAAAAATCCTGGAATGTTTTCATCAAAAACCTTAATTTCTTTTTGACTGAAGAAAGAATGACATGGACATCTTGGATGACATGGGAGTGAGTGAATTATCAGCAATTTTTTTTTTTACAAGTGAACTACTCCTTTAATCAAAATCAAAATGAAGTGTATTCTAATTGTGGCAATTATTTATTGCATTCATAAAGTCATTGTTTCTCTTTTTATCTTTCAGCCACAGCAAGTGGTTCAGGAAAAGCCCGCTCAGGTATGTCAAAAAAAATCTTGCACCATGTATAATTAATACAGGAGGTGGACATGCACATATAAACAATCATTAAAAGAATTATATATATATATATATATATATGTATATATATATATATATATATATATATATAAAGTCCAATTGGCTAGAAGGGGATAGCACTTTGCAAAAATATATTGAGGATGATTGTCTGAGGAAGGGTATTGGCTGTTTGGGTTTACAAAGTCCTCACAAAGTTAAGTAAAAGGGGGACATAATTCTGGTTTGATGAGAGACCTGCATGGTTAATGCTAATGTAAATCCTATAGCACTATGTGTGGAATCCCAGTCTTCTTTGGTTTCATCCGCTCACAGATGGATATGCAATCTGGCAGACAGGATTAGTTTTGAAGAGTTGCCCCTTTTTTCCTCTCTTGTCAAAATTCCTTCAGCGTATTAACAATGGAGTCGACTCTAAAGTCTCTGTCTGTGCACAGCGCAGCTTTAATGTGCTCAGGAAGAAAAGAAAGCCAGCGGTCTGCTCCCTATATGCCGGCTGCTGATGTGACTAAATGAATCGTGACTTAAAAATATGAAAATAAAACTAACATTGACTTCTTATCGACTCTTTCTACATTGATATATGTAATTATTTGTTTAATCAGCATACCATGTAATTAATTTAGTTACATTTTTTATTAATTGACATCTCTGTCTGAAAATATTCATAAACAACAATCAAACCTATTCACTGTTAAAAAAAATATTTTGAACAATTTTGATGAAAATTCTGACTCGGTGTGAAAATGCTTTACATATTTATATATTTAACTTTCTCGTGTCACTAACGATGACAAAATGCCATCACTCGATTTAATGATGTTTGCTTTACGTTGTCTTGATTAGAGTAGAAATCCCCCAAAGAAGAAAAGACACAACCTCCAATTTCTCACTCCCCCACACAGTCTTCCACACATTTACCAGGAATCTGCTCACCTCCTCTTGTTCGCTGGTGCGGACCAGTTTACAGTGTGAATGCATAACTGAGGCCTGATTTGATGCTATGTGGGAACGCACAGACCCTGATGGCGTTGTGCCATACTGGAGGGTCCTATAGGTGCTCACACACACACACACCGCACTGGTATCTATAGGTAGTCCGAGGTGGTATCTCTGAAATGGAAGGCAAATCTACCTTTGAAGGTGCTTGATTAAACTACTTTAATCAAGCACCTTGATTTTTTGAGAACAAACGCTTTTGGCCACTATTTTTTAAGCATCTCACACTATGAGCATTGTGTTTTTAAGATGCTATTTTATGTTTAACCCTTTTCCTGTCACCCCCCTTTTTGAGAATGGGGGTTAAAATGCACTATTCAACTTAAATGGTTGTAATTCAAGAATGTTTTGGAATGTATATTCAAGTTTGGTCTTGTTTTAAAGAAAACACTCAGCAGATTATTATATAAAACACTTCAAAAAATTTTTTATTTGATATAAAATATATATTTTACAAAATAAAAGCCATAAATCTAGCCAAGTTATGTTCCAAACTTGAAGTTTATATCACAAAAATTGAAGTTCCCATGTTTTATTTAGGCGTAGTACCAAAAAAATAGCCACCGGGTGCCATTGAGTGCCATTTGAAATTTTCTTCTTTAATGATGATTTTTATCAAACTTGTATATTTAAGTTCAGTAATTTCACTTAAATAACAATTAATAGGTAATTATCATTGCCATTTAAGTGAAATCACTGAACTTAAATATACAAGCTTGACAAAAAATGATCATTCTAGAAGAAAATTTCAAATGGCACTTAGAGGCTTTTGCATCTGAACAGGCTTTTGCATCTTCAATTATAATTTTTTGAGGATAATGTTACATTAAAAATACTATTATATGTTTTATTATGAACTTTTCGCATGAAAACCCAAAGTTTCGAATATTAAAGGTGTGTGCGTCAACTTTTTGTGACAAAGGTCAGAACTCCCGTTATGGTGCAGATTTTTTCGAGGCGCACTCTTGTCAAAAAATCATTGGTTACTCTTCTTACATAATGAGTAGCAAAAAACAGCGGTCAAATATCTATTTAGCAGTCTTAGACCTTTCCAACGATATATAGTTTGTCATGACTAGATTAGGATTTAATTGTAATATAGTGAAGTAAATTTAGGTTGCCCGGATAGGTAAACTTTTAAAAATGTCTCATGTGCCTTAATCAACACATTCTTCATGACTAATCTATGTTCTGTTGTTTTGCACAACTCTAATAGTATTGTTTTTGTTAATATAGTGTTCAGTTTCCCTAAACTTCAAAGGGAACCAAAGATCCGCCATAAACCCAAAAACAGGGGGTTTTAATTATTATCGCTGAACCATCTTTTCTCCTTGTTGGTGATGGTTAAACCAAGCGTGTGGTAATCGTACTTTTTCAGGAATTCCATTAAGGTTTTAGTGTTTTTCGAGTGTTCATTACTCTCTGAATGATAGAGCAAGCAATGCATGAGAATGTCATTTAATCATTTAATAATAAAAAAAGGAATGTTCAGAACAAATAATAAATGCAAAGGAATTTTAGAATTCTGAAAAAGTATTACAGTCAACTGCCAAAAGAAATCTGTTGTTCCATTCAACAAATAAGAGTTTGGAACTAAGCTGGTATTTTCTGGTCTGTGTGGCACTTCAGTTGGAAGCACGATTTGTGGCTGGGGGTGTCCGAATATGATTAAAGAGTTTTTTTTTTTCTTTTCTTTTACTCGCCCATGTCACACATGGTAGCGCTTAGCTGGTCCTTCACAGCTGAAGTGTCTGCCGCACTAATGAATGGAGTTTGGCTCATATAATGCAGACGGGCTTTTGCCACGGCCTTTCCCCTGAATGGGAGCAACACGGCGGCTTGGGAAAAGAAGAGGGTTATAAATTGTGTCAGTTAGCCTTTCCAAATAAAATGAAGCCATGTGGAAAATGAAATCCATTTCATTCTGAAAAGTGCCTAAAGCCAAGCGTCTCCCCATCCCCCATTCAACGCCTTTCAATGGTGGTCATCCCGGCGGCAGCTGTGGGACGTTCACTGTCTAAGCTCATGAAAAAGAACATTTGTAACCAAAACAATGACAAAAAAAGAAAATATAAATGCTAATAATGGCACCACTTCAGCCTGTCTCGGTGCTGTCAGTCAAACTTTTGCACACAGCCGTGCTCAGTCTGTTTGTGGTGTCTGATGAGCAACCACTGTTGTGTTTTGCAGGAAGAAGAAGAGGAGGAGGAGGAGGAGGTGGAGCCAGAAGAGGACTAAGCAACCACAGGATTTTACCTCTACCTCATCCAGCTGTCAGCTCTCTCCAAGGGAAAAGACTGCCTTGACCACTTATTATTGACTTCACACTTTCGTTTGATCGTTTTCATATGTTTATTTTCGTTTTTCCTCATTCGTTTATTTTGGCTTGGCTTCGTTTTGTGATAAACACACACACACAACACCTCAGAGCGCAACCCGAAAAAAGACGCAAACGCAAACAAACATCTTGCAGATGACAATTGGAGCCGCCTTGCTGTTTCCACTTCCCACAAACTGTTGTAAGCACAAAGGTGCAGGGGTTAAACACACAATATGTGCTACAGCTGTTCTTTGCGCCACACACACTCTTGTTGACTGATTTTCCAGGCTACATTGGAGGTGAAACTGTCTGGTTTTGTCATTCAGCAAGTAGTGCTTCCTATATCTGGGTGGAACTTTGAATGGACACACCCTTTCGCACAAGAACCCCCTTTTTTACAGTACCGTACCACCAAAGACAGTTCAAATAGACCATTTTCCCCTCTCTGTCCACTTCATTTGGAGGTTTTGACCAAAATGAAAGTGAGCTTTAAAAGCATTCGCCTTAACCTTTAACCTATTAGTTATTGAAATGTAACATTTTTAAGTGGATACCTAAAAAAATCAAATTCTGTGATTATTTACCGACCCTATCGTAAATAAATAAATAAGTAAATCTTTCGTGGAACACAAAGGAGATTATACAAAGAATGTCCAAACTGATCTTTTCTATAAACTAAACACTGAGTGGTGCATAACAAATGCAAACTTCTGGCATGAAACTCTAAATGGTGCAGGCTGATTGGTCCTTAAAGCAGCACTATGCAGTTTTTTTTTACTTTAACTGAATAGCTTCGGAGTTATTGCAATGGGTATATGACTATTTTCGGGTTGAATGTTGGGCGTCTCTTTTATTGTGCTTTTTTGTAGCTTAGCACCCCTAAGTCACCATTCATTGTATGGAAAAGAGCAGCTTGAATATTCTTAAAAAAAAAAAAACATCTGCTTACAGAAAAAAGAAAGTCATATGGGTAGTGTTGGGGAAAGTAACTTTAAAATTAATGCAGTACAGTATTGCTTTTAAAAAGTAACTAATTCCATTGCTCAGTTACTTTTTATGGAAAGAGTTACTTTACCATTTTTGTTACTTTTTCTCACCTCTGCTTGGCTTGTTAACTCAAATATTTTATTGTAAATTTAAAAGTAATGCATTACTTTATCAATTACTTAAAAAGAAATCTTATTACGTAACTTGTGTTGCGAACGAGTGAATAATGACAGAATGTTTATTTTTGGGGTGAATTATCCCTTTTAGTATCAAATGTCCCTCGGGTCCTTGGTGGTGATTTTTTTTTTTCTTCCCAAAACTGATTACTGCAAACATTAAATGTCTCGGTGGGAGACTATTTTTAGCATTACTACAGAACAGTAGTTCTACTGTACATACCTTCGTGACTTCGGCTTCGCATAATTAACATACGTGTACATAATTGATCGTTTTTTATTTTCTTGTATGGCATAGCTTTAAGAACACAATTTTCTGACAAATTCAGTGAAAGGGAAATGTATCAACTCAGTCAAGACCTAAACCTCAAGAAACACCCAAACGACAGGAACAAAACCACACTATACCTCATTACACACAAAAATACCTGAACCGCAGCGACGGCGTCAAAAGCTATTTGGCGGATCCTAAAGTACGCCAGTGCTGTCACCAATGCAATATCTCCTCACCGTTTCAAAACTACCTCTGATTTCTTCAACCAGCAAACCAGTTTAAAAAGACGCGCGCTGCTGTAGAGTTCTCATTACAAAGCAGGGGATGGCAGCGAGTGCCAATGTTGAAAGCGACCCTTGTCGTAAGGGCAGGCGAACGCTCTGCAAAATGTTTTTTGTGAGGGTCGGGCAGGTAATAACTGAATTCTGAGGTTTGTAGTCAAATGTAGAACTAATCATGCAGCTAAGGGGGGAAAAAAAATACTGTGTTTGTTCTAGTTAATTTTCTTTTTTTCACATTAGCATATATCTGACATTTGTAACTTGACACTCTGTCTCTGCAGCTGGGATGTCTGTTTTAAATTTTTAACTTGAATATATATTTTGTACTGATTTACTCAATGGTTTCTAAGGATCAAGTGCTTGTATGACACTAAATGATATTGTTGCGAATTAATTTCTCTTTTCTTTCTCAATTTTTATTTCCCTCTCCACTATTGCTCTGAATTTCTAGTTTCCTATGTACTATTCAGATATGTACCTCAAAAAGAAAAGGATAAAAATGGACTAGTAATCAGCTGACAAATACCTACCTCCAGTCTTGAAAACGGAACGTTTATTTTTATTTTTTGCCTGGTTTCTTTCAGTACGGATTCAAATGTGTACAGAAAAAGACTTTAGGACTGCACAAAATCCTGTTTTACAAACGTTTTAAATTTGATTTTTTGTTTCATCTTAGTTCAGCTGGGAGAAGGTGCTAAAAGAAAACTACACACACACAAAAACACATCACATGAAAAACTAAAAAAAAAAAAAAAAACAACAACAAAAGAAACTTGAAACGCTCTTTCAGGTTTGAAAAAATATGTTCGGGTTTTGTATATTGCATATATGAATATGTTTTTGAAAAATTAGTAGATATTGAGATATACTTGATTAGCGTTTTTTTTTTTTGTGTACTTTACACAAATGTGATTTTCTTTTCTTGTATGGTTCAAACAGATGTATATGTAATGCTTATGTAGTGAAAGAATACACCTTTTCAGCCTGTCACCATGAAAACCTTAAATGTTAGCATGGTAATCTCAACTGGGCCTGAGGTAGAGCCTCAGAGGAAGCTAATGGAACTGTTGGCATGCCCCTTGAACTTACAATGGCATGTAATGACCGTCTTTATATGCGGCAGCTTGGCTTTTGCCACAAACCAACATTAAACGTTGCTCAAACACTGTAATGCTACTACCTAAATGGTTACAGTTCTTGTAAAAGTGTCAGTTTTCGAATCGGACCGCTTCTTTACTCTCCTACGAGTTCAACAGATGTAACAGTCGCTCGCTTAAGTGGAAGGACGGCGTATCTCGGTTCGACCTCAGCAGTGGTTGCTTTTTAACGCTGTTTTGAGGTCATTTTCGGCGTGTAATGGCACTGTTATAGCATCATAAGGTGCGCCGCTTTCAGCCCTGAAACTTGGCATTGTGTTCATATGCTTCCTATGTTGGTTTGAATGTGTATCCACAGGAGCCACTGTTCATGTGCTTTCAGCTCTGGGTGTCTTAATGAAGATGAAGTTGTATTTTGTATGACAACATGTTCTAGTACAATCGAATACACTTTTCTACCTCCAAGAGGGCCTCCTGTTACCTCATTTTTCAAACTTACTATCTGCTTAAATTCAGGTGCCTGAGTCCAGAGAGAACGGCGTAAAGTTTTAAATTTATATATAAATAAAATATATATTCATAGTTTATTTTTGTGTGTTTTGGAGGGGATTTTTTTTTTGTTTTATATAAGACTGTACCTCTCTGCCTCTCAGCCACAAGTTAGGTAAGACTGGACAATTTGACTTGTTTTTAAAATGTCTTACATTTATGCAATGTTTTGTCATTTCTGCAGCTGTGGAGATGGAAAAGTATCACTAGGTGTTTACTCTCAGCTTTCTTCACTTGATATAACTTGTTTTCTAACAATTATGGCTGTTTCACTTAGTATTGCTGTTTGTGATTTCACTTAAAATTGCTTGCTTGTTTAAAAAAAAGGACAAAAAAAGAAACGTATTAGAAAAAAAGTCCTCTTTATACATATCCACCTCTTTATTCAGCACAATAAAAAAAGGTGCCTGTGATCATTGTTGTGTGTGAAGTCAGTATTAACACTGCATGCTTTACCCACAAATGTCATCATACAACCACATCTCTTTTGGTTTTATTTAATTGCGTTCAAGGTAAAGATTAAAAGGCTAATATTAACTAAATAAACTGAAACACTGAAATCCATTTGATTTTAGGTGTTTCCTCACTGTATGTAAATCACTGGCTGTACTCCCATTGGTAGTCGGTGTATTGTTTCGGTACTCATTCGCATGAAGTTGAGCTCTGCTCACAGTGCTTCCGATCTTGGTTACGTTTACCTTTACTCGTAGAAGAGGCATGATATTGCATCTTGTTCTTTAGGCCGATTTTGCTGCGTAAACCAAAAAAAGATTTTTTGATTTGAAAGAGATTTCTGTGTGAGCCTTGCTTAGTGGACATTATTGACAATTAGACATTTTTCATTCATGTGAAAGCGCCTTTTTAAGTTGCCGTTACAGTGATGTTTCAGTGAAATTTTGCAGGCAAAAAAGGGCTCATTGTCAATGGTGTACCGAAGCACTTTCAAACTTTGGTCAGGTAAAATCACTTGATCAACTTGAACGAGAGCGAAATCTGCGTGAGGGACTTTTCAGCCCTTACTCAAAACTCTCGAACTTGCAAATTCCTATTGAAATGAGCTATGGTAAAAGTTTAATAAAAGCAAATGGTAACTAAAGGTTAAAAGCACCTTTACTCAAATTGGTGAAATTCACAGTTTCTTTTTGAATATGAATGATATCCAGTTGCTTTTAATCTATTCCAACTGGACAAAATCATAGCCAGCCCTACATTTTTTTTTGTTCGAAAAGCCAATATATGTTAGCTTAAAAATCTACACGCACCCTAGTGGTGGCAAAAGTGTGGTCTAGGAACTCTCCGTTGGCTTTCGAAGTGGACAAACCAATCACATCATGTATAGAGTTGGTGGGTGGGCTTAACACAATGACGGCAGAGTTGTGACGGTTCTGCGCCGTGATTCCCATAGGCGAATTCCCTGCTACTTGAAAACAAAGACGCTGCCGAACAGCGGTCTTTCGAATCGGCTTTGGCCGCGACTCTGGAGGACTTGGAGTTAAGAGAACGTCACTTAAGTCGTTCTTAAAAAACGAAGATGTGTTCGGAGTTTTGATGACCAGATACGGCAAAAGTTTGATATATCTTGCTCCGCTGGTGGGAAAACACATTGGACTCACTCAGCCGTTCGTTGCTCTGGTTGGTTGGTTGTGGCGCTATCCAATGGCGTGCAGAGGGATTTTGAAAGACAACCGTTTATCCCGCCCCTCAGATTGAGGTATGCCAATTGTGAGTTCCCAGACCCAACATCTTGATGTAGGTCTGGCTTGCCAGGCTAAATATACGTCACAGTAGAGAAGAAAATACTATCACAACTTTCAAGTGAGGTGAGGTTCTCACAAGTCTTCAACTGATGCGTTTTAAATCATTTGTCTGAAGAACTATTATTTTCTTTATGAGTAAAATTGACTTTTTATTATGAACCCAAATTCCTTCCTTAAGGCACAAATACACATACAAGCCAGGCCAGCACTGAAGTGTCCCAGGACATTCTAGGCCAGGACAGAAAACACAGAGGCTATGTATGGAGCTTCAAGGTACACAATGTTACGGAATTTAGACGACTGCTTTTTTTCCCCCTCCTCCCTCCCCTGTTCCTCTTCCACAGACTCTCCCCCTCTTCCCAATTCCAAAACATCTCTTTAACTCCCGTTCTTTGGTGTACTCACAGGGGACACGTAGCCCACCCTGG